TTGAGAAAGAGGCAAGAAGATTGCTTGAACCAATCCATCTTAATATGGACAAATTTCAAGTTGTTGACATGTAATCAAGATCAAACGTATGAACTTAATTGATGGAAGAAGATGCATGTGCAGTTGTTAGAAACCATTATTATATCATATTTTGTGTGTTCATGTCATGTGTTGTGTGGTGATGTTAAGAAGATGCCAGTTTGATTATGTATCTAAGTATTATAACATGAGTAACTATAAATTGAGTTATTCCACAAAATTTCACCATATCTCCAACAAGAAAGATTGGGGCCATCATGACTCTACTAATAGCTGATATCCTCTTCTCCTGCCAAATTATAGAAGGCGGTCTGGTTGTCTAAGGACCACTCGCTATCTCAATACAATGAATAAATCACAGCCACGTACTAACATAGTTTGTGGAGCATGTCATACGATCAGCATAACTGAGCCACATGCCCAGTTAGGCTTGGTCGTAGGACCTAGGATTTCAAATGTTTGTTGAAGTACTACGTAATGAAGATTATTGTGTCATGAGCCTTTATGTATGATTAGTGATGTTGATCATGTATTTTATTGATGTTAGTATTTTATAAATGTTTACTTTTACTGAAATTAACACTATTATATACCATGTATTCTAATGATGCTTATTTTATGAAGTGGGTCTTTTCCTATTTGATGCTTTTTAATATTCCTAAACTTTTTTATAAAGGAAAATGGCAGAATAATTAAGTTGTTATGTATAAATAATCTCTAGAAATGCTTCAATTATTCATATAACTGTTAGTTAATGCATAATTATTCTCTATAATTACCAATTGCTAATTCTAGGATCTATTTAATTTGATAGATTCAATGGCATCCGAACTTCGAAAACATAAGAAAAAATGGCCCAGTAGTGAGGCAATAGCAGAGGCTTTTAACCATACAGCACCCACAACTCAAATTTACCCCAACATTGCTTCTTTGCATGATACACATATGACAACACATCCTGATGGGTTATGTGCCTTATAGTGTTCTCATTATGCACTCTTATTACTTTCTAAGCATAAACATTTTATTTAACTGCTACTAAAATTGCCTCTTTCCATGGAACAATACTAGAAGTTGCATCACACCTTCTGATCGTCCACGACTGGTCAATTAACTATCCAAGATTCATGGATGCATTAAGGACGGACTTAGATTGTGTTAACCAGACATGGTATTTAAGGATGAACCACCATCTGTTAATAGCTTTAGTGGAGAGATGGTCCCCACAGACGAACACTTTCCATCTTCTAGCTGGAAAGATGACCATCACTTTATAGGATGTGGCTATAATATTAGGTGTGTAGATAAATGGTCCAAATTTAGTGGGACACAAAGTAATTGGATCAAGGATACGTTTGCTGAGTTGGCACGATTGGTGCGATGACATATTAGGCAGCCATCCACACCTCAATGTAGTCTACTGTGACCCTTTCGACCACCACATCACATCTAGATTTTGTATGGGTCAGGTACAAGCACAGACTTGCATGCCACTCATATGGTTATGTTGGACTTTCTGGCATTACTCATACTTAGACTTAAATGAGATAGATTTTTGGAGGCATGTCAGGGAATTTATATTATTCATCATGGGTTGCCATCTACTTTTGGATACATCAGTTTCGGGGATACATTTGCAATACTTGACTATTATGGAGGATTTGGGGGTATTCAATACATACACTCTTAGGGGAGCTGTCCTAGCACACTTGTATCGTTGATTAAAGCAACAAGGTCTAGCATGACTAATATAGCTGGGAAAATATATTTATAAATTTTGGCTTGGGAGTTCCTACATATTGGCCAACCTACACTTTATGTTCTATTCCCAATACAACTTGATAGAATGAGTGTTGGATTTAGGTATAAAGTTTACTTAAGTATATAATATACAAATTTTTTTAAGTATATATATGAGACTTACTTAAAATAGGTGGAACAAGGATCGGCTCCAATAATTGCCAGGGGGAAACATTATCAACTATAAGGATGAGATAGATGGCCTACTTGATAGTTAGGTATTTTTGAAATTTTAATGCTCCATTACATGTTCCATAAATTTTAGCCAACAAAGTTACTTTTTTATATGCAAGTGATTTGGGAGCCATACACACATTACATTTGTGCTCAGGTTGCACATATATGTTTAGCAGGTGAAGAGATATAGACTACAAGAGTGCCTATGATTAGTTTGAAGATGGTGGAGTGGCACTTTCTCGATCGAGTGTTATGATAGTTCAACTTCTCCCTAATAATGATGTCCTGCCTATGGAGCCTGGCTTCAAAATAGTATATATGGATTGGATATTGCACCACCATGCCGACATTTTCATATGGGAGAGCATGAGAGGCTATGTGATTATTGGGGAGCATTTTGGTGATGGTAGTGACTATGATGTGCATTAGTACCTATAGTGGTACAAGCTATGGTCCACACTATATATGTTGAAGGCACATGTTGAGTCTCCCACCATGTCATACCCTAGAGCTCTCTTAGAGCATCTTCCACTACACAAATATGAAAGATAATCTCATGTTAATAGCCTCTACAGTGTAAATTTATTTAATTAATGATGTTGTTAATACAAAGGGACTTCTTCCTTAGGACTGAGCGAGCTTTGCAACATCACTTCAATGGTACAAAGGATATGCAAAAGAAGCATGACATAAACACGATGGTGGAGCTTTGCCGTAGACTACACTGACAAATGCATGTTGAGGACCAACGATACTTTGATGATGCAACTGGGCATGATACACCACTCACCATAAGCCAGGATGCTCTTGAGGTTTATAATGGATTTGCTGGCCCATCTTTGTATCCTAATCAAGGGCCCTCAAAGGATATCATTAGTTACCATATGCCAATGGTTATGTATGCTTATCTCAACCCAGATTTTGTACCTTGCACCATTCAGACATTGACATACCTCATCCTGACATCATTGGGGAGGAGCAACATGAGTTATGTGAGAGACCTTTGCAACCGCCGCAATATTACACTCCCGACAGTGATGTATTGCTCCAGAGACCATGTAGGAGGCGTTAGCTGAGTTTATGATTATACTGCATATGATGTTAGCTTTCGATGATGTAAGCTCCTGATGATGTTAGGTTTTTATGAAGTTTTCTTTTGAGGATGTTACCTCCTGATAATGTTAGCACTGTCATGATCATATATTTGATTATGCTTATTTTATGTAGTAGATATTTTCATATACATTTTTCTTTGATAACGTTTGTTCATAATATTATTCAAAAAATAATAATAAAGAAGCTGAACAAATAATAATTGAGTTTGATGGAAACATTTGAGTTAACCATTAAGCAACATTACTCAACCGCCCAAATTTAACTTCGATAGTTGACTGAATAACAAACATACTATTTAAAACCCTGCATAAAATAACTTGAACATGTTGTGACCAAGGATCAAATTGCATCACTTACGTAAACATTAGAGATATACTAAATGACGAGATAAGACCAAACAAGCTTACATAGCGTATAATATAAGGTTATATTCTCAATTAATAAACCTACACAAATGTGCTTGGAGTTGGCTTTTCGCTGAACAACTTTTAAAGAGAAACTTGAACTCACGCTACAAATCTAGCCAGTTAAACACATAAAAAAAGTTCTTTTGTACTTCCATTAGTAATCTCCTTCATTGATTCTTGTAAAAAGTAACAATAAATTCATCTTCTTATAGTAACCAAAGATGATAGTGAATGATGTGATCCATATCATCTACAGACGTTTCAAGTTCATCGGCCAAAGTACCTCCACCGTCACATCGTAGTTGATGATAACACATTTAAAGGTCATGTTGACTGACAAAATGATGATCATGCGTGTAGAATGTCCTCTCTAAATTTATCCAATCTTGACTATTCAAGAAATTATTCCTCTTATACACATTTATTTTCATTAACTTTTAATGCATGCACATAAGTATATAATCGTAATCTTCTGTCCACTCATGCATGCAACATCTAAATATTTTATTTCCCTGGCCTTCATCTCTAAAGGATGATCCGGGCATCTTCCCATATATTGGTGCAATCGTCTGATTCCACTCTCCAGTAAATCTTTCGTTGGAGTGTCCCTAATTTTCTTCATAATAGGTCAATTCATTATAAAGTAAAGAAAGTTTAAAACTCAACTAATGTAGAGAAATCACCTAAGTGAAGCAAATCCTTCTACAACTTCTTCACTGCATTTCTTATATCACTTAGAGAGGTGTTCACAACACATATTTATACCCAACTATAAAACTTCTTGATATATTAATTTATATTAGAAACCTAAAATAACTGATAAAAAATTAAAGAATATAATGACAACAAAAAATTGATGTAGACAAGTCTTTATGATAAAATAATACAATTTTGCAGCTCAAATCACATTATTTGAGTCATGTTTGTCACAACCATTTCAGCATCCAATATCATCAATAATGACTCTAAACAGATTTTAATGTGTATAACAGTAAGTATCTACAACACCAATGAAAACAGTAAAGAACATAACATGGCTAAAAATGGAGCTACAAATATTTTCTTATCATAACTATAAGCATAACATGACTGAGTAATTGCATTATTTTTAGAAAGGGGAAATATAATTTTTATTTTTAAAAAAATTATTTTATATAAGTCGACCAACTAACGGACAACTTATAAGTCGCCTATTAAATTGACGACTTACATTAAGTTTTCGTTAAACCTAATGCTAATGACTATCTGACTCGGCAAATCTTAGTTAAATGCTAGTCGCCCGTTAAATGGGCAACTTTGCCTAATTTTTTTTAAAGCAAGCTTAAACTCTTAAGTCTTAAGACATTTTTTAATTACGCTTAATTTAAAAAATTTTGCTTTTTGATATCAAATATACCATAAAATTTGAACCTTTATTTTATTTTGATATCACAAAAATTAAATTAATGAATAGGTTGAATTTGTATATGCATACTCTATAACACTCGCCTTTTCTTCATCACCTCCCATACCCTAGCCGAGGCACTTCAGAGCCCAGAGGTCCCGGACACCGCAGCAGTCGCATGGCCGGCCGTCGCGTATACCTTACGGTGCTCTAAGCCATCTGCTCTTTGCGATTCCGACATTTTGAGTTCGCTGGGATTTCTCTAACCCCTCTGTTGTCTATAGGTAATATAATATCCTCCTTCTTACAGTTTCTTTGATTGCTTGCTAGTGATGTTTTGATTAGCTTTTTTGCTGAGTATACGGTAAAAGGCTATTCCAATCAGGGAACCTAAATTTTGATTAGCCAGAACTCGATTGGAGTAGAAGCAGAATATACAATCAACGTTTGGAATGGAATCAAGATAAATCGGTGTGAATAAAAAAGCTACCGATTAAAGTTCAACTAAAGAGTCGAGTGATTACACTGCGATTTCTAATTATTTAGATAGCTTTGATTCATCATGTATAATAATCCGTTGGAGCATTCAAATGAGTATCATTTAGAACAAGTTAACGTGGCACTTACTCGGGAGGTTGAAGGGAAAAAGTAGTGACGGTGCTTCTTTTTCTTGAGGATCTTTTATATTATTTGAATTATTAATGAATTATTCATGATTTTTCAATATGTTTGCTATTTTTTAAAATTTGCACACCACGTCATGTGTTATGTGATGTCTCCAAGGAACGTTGAGCTGTGGTGTTATTCACTATTGACAAGTAATGCCATAGCTACAACGCAAAAAATCATAGGAATTAGCGGTAGGGAAAAATAGCTAGAACCAGCCAATTAACAATAGTGAATCAATTATAGGAAGGAAAAACATTCATTTAATGCTCAATAACTTGATTAATAATCCAAGTTCTAGAATTAAATCAAAGCATGAAAACAACTAAAATAGAGAACCAAACCAGCATGAGCATTTGCTGAATTCAACTTGTTCTCCATAAAGATCATCATCAGAGAGACATTTTCATACTAAATAAACTAATGTAAAGTCATAACTATGAAAAATAATAATTTTATTAACTTCAAACTTAGAATTTCAATGTTCCTGTCTCAACGCTCACATTATATATATATATATATATATATATATATATATATATATAAACTTTGAATTTTGCACCAAATTTGCCTAGCATAAAAATTTTTGGGTCCAACATTTGAACATTTGGTATTTTTCTAGTAAATTTACGAGGCATGTTATATCGGACACGCGTCGGATACGGATATGCCTCTGATACGGCACGGATATGTGTCGGATATGGCTTTGCCGTGTCCAATTAAAATATTATTTAAAATTGACAAGACACATGTATCGGATATGCATGTCCTGTAAAAAAAAAAAGAACCGCAATTTGCCCTATTCATTTCGGCTACCCGCTCGATATCTCTATTCATTTATGTGGCTTAAACATTTACACGAGCTTGTTTTTTTGTTTCCGCACAGGCGTTCGTCTTCTTCGTTGTAGTCGAAGGAGCGGCTCGACGACGCGAGCATAGAAGTGGATAAGATCATCCTTTGTCGACGAAGATGCTCAACGATGAGAGCATTAAAGCCGACATGATCATCTTTCATCGACAGAGCGACTCAAAGATGCGAACAGTGAAGGTGATGCGAGCAGTGAAGGTTCTTTTTCTTTGTTTTCTTCATCGTAGGCTCGGTATCGGAACTCGGTACCAGAACTCGGTACTAGAACTCGGTACCGCTAAGTATCAGAACACGGTACCACTCGGTACCAGAACTCAATACCGCTCAGTACCAGAACTCGGTACCACTCGGTATTGATCGGTGCCTCTCCGCAACACTCGGTACAATGCTCAATATCAATGCTTGGTACCGCTCAGTACCAAGGGGTACCGAATGGTACCAAGCGGCACCAAGAAGCTAGAGAAAATTTTAAAATTACTCTTATAACCCCCGCATGGGCATTGTCCCTTGACCCCGCGACCTGACCGGTCCAGTCGAACCCCGCCAGGGGGCAGCGGCCCCTTGGACTCCCAGCATATCTGCGACATATCTATACTTTTACTTAAAAAATTTCATGTTTCAAATTTATGTGGTTTAATTTGTGTCGATCATTCGTAGGATAATGAGCTCTAGTGGCGTAGGAATTGGATTTGATGATGGTCCATCAGTGACCAATATTAAAGATAACAAGCCTCTATGGGGTTATGTGACAAAAATAGGTAAAACATCAGAAGGGGGTGGCAATATTGCATTCAAATGCAATTACTGTAATGCCACATACCAAGGATCATATTATAGAGTGAAAGCTCATTTGTTGAAGATTAGTGGTCATGAAATTAAAATATGTTCGAAGATAGCCTCATCAAAAATGGCTGAATTACAAAGGAAAATCAGTGAAGCTGAGCAAAGGAGTAAAAAAGAGCTTCCAAAATAGATTTCACTTTCAAGCACCCATGTTTCATATCCTTCATCATCTTCTTCAATTAGAAGTAATGATAGTACTGTAAACAAAGGGCATTTCCGAATGGAGGGATATGAACCAAAAAGAAAAAAAAACATTTTGTAGATAGTGCTTTGGAGAAATCATTTAATTTACAAATAAGAGAACAACAAGATGGGGAAATAGCTAGAATGTTTTGCTTAGTTGGACTTCCTTTTAACCTATCAAGGAATCTACATTACAAGAATGCCTTTACCTACACATGCAATAATAATCTTGCAAGATACGTGCCATCTAGGATATAATGTCATTAGAACGAAGTTATTGCAAAGAGAGGGATAATATTGAAAAGTTGCTCGAGCCTACTAGAGGAGTTTGGAAGGAAAAAAGAGTTACTTTGGTTTGTGATGGGTGGACAGATCCACAAAGAAGACCACTTATCAACTTCATGACTGTAACAGAGAGCTATCCTATGTTTATCAAAGCTGTAAACTGTGAAGGATAGTACAAGGGTAAGTTCTTCATTTCTAATTTAATCAAAGAAGTTATCATGATGGTGGGGCCTTCAAACATCATCCAGGATATTACTGATAGTGCACCTATTTGTAGAGCTGCATGTCTACTTGTAGAGCAAGCATATTCTCATATTTTTTGGACACCCTGTGTTGTGCATACGCTTAATCTTACCTTGAAGAAATTCTGTGCAGCTAAGAATATCGGCTCTCAACAACATTGTCGTCTCCTCTCTCGATGCCTAATACACGACATTGACACCTGACTCTCGACATCGTAATATTAATCATTTTAAGCATAAATTTCAACTAAATGATTTATCATTTCTAAATTATTTTTAATATTATACTTATTCAATTTTTATAAAAATTATAATATCGTATTCAACCCATGTTAGTGCCCTATATTTTCAATAATTGATGTGTCATGTGTTCGTGTCGTGTCGTATCCGTGTCACCGTGTCCGCGTTTGTGCATCATAGCAAGTGACATGCATTGTGTATACTGGATTACGAACTCTGTCCTAACATAGTTGTCTTAGTGATGTGTTATTGATAATTATGAGTCAAGATCGTTTGATTCTTTGATGTGATGGGTTTAAATAATCTGAGCACCTTACCATCACTGGTTGGTCAGATTAAAGTTTCTTCATTTTAGAATTATGGATATCACCATTTAGACAACAATTCATTTATGGTGTGAATTGTGAAGTATGGTCTTGTTCTTGATCAAAGGGGTACATTGAGATTTGAGAGTTGATTATTATTAAACATGTGGACTTCACTGATTTGCTTTAGGAGTCACTTAATTCTCACTGCCTTATTCATGTTGTGAGCTACATGGTGTGCCAATTTCATAAATTTTTCAGAGAGGAATAAAGAGGGTCATTGTGAACTTTGTGATCAGCCGCTTGATATGCCTACTAATTAAAGTCTAACATGAGGGTTTGGGGTATTATTACAGCCTAGATTCATTTGTTAGTTGAAGTGGGCAGAGATTACAAGAACTTTGTGTTAAGTTTACCTGAATCAATGAGTCATGAGGTCATATGGGTTATGCTATGTGGAATCAGCAGGTCAGCTCACTCCTTGCGTATTGGGAAGAGCTTATTCAATTAAGATGCTGTTATATACCTATTCATCATTCATTTGCTTGAGCTGTGGATGGTAGATGTGTTTGTGATATTAGATTTAATTACGACATTTCATTCATAGACTTCATTTTTTATTTTTGATTATTATTATTATTATTATTTTGGGAAAACCGTAAAGGGGCCTATGCATTAATTAAAAGGTGAAATACAAGTCCTTAAAAAACCATAAGCTCCGCTAAAAAGACAACATTTGAAATAAAACCTAAGAGCTACTTATCCATCTATTACAATTGTGCAACTACAAAGAAAAAAAAAACAAGCCAATCAAAGCCAGCTCGAAAGACTGAGCCAACAAAATAGAAGCCACCTCCAACTATCAAGATCAGGAGGAGGCACAGCAAGGCAGCAACAAAAGGAGTACACCAACCATTCATAGACTTCATTTTTTTTAATACTATTTATAGACTTCATGTTTATTCAGATCCGACAATTTAGGTTTTAGTTGATTTCAGAGCATACTATTTAGATGATTTCAAAGTGTATATTCAGGTTTGAGATTATCTACCAAAGACTTTATTCTTGATTTTATAGGCAAGGATGGGGGGTGGGTGAGACATTCTAAGCATTAAATAGCTTTGTTTTGAAGAAGCCTTTAATTTGTGTTACCAAAAATATGTGGAGGTCTACACAGCTCTATGCAATTTACAACCTTATGAGGCAAAGCCTAGAATTTTGCTAAGCTTGCACGTGATAGATCTGGTTAATGTGATGCTGAATCATGCAACATTGTATGATGTGCCGTTTGTGCAATGATTTGCATATCTTGATCAACTTTTTTCGGTTAGATTGAGGGTTTGTTTGGGACAAGTTTCATACTACTTTTTAAAACTTCTTTTTAGTACAAAAATTACTTACAAAATTTTCAAATTCATGAAATTTTTGTACTAGAAAGCTGTTTTAGAAAGCAAGGAAAAAACCGTCCCAAACGAAGCCTGAGTTTCAAGTTCATTGGATTTGGTTTAAGATCAGGGCCATACAAACTAAACTTTTATCCAAAAATCCCGATGCAAAGTATTTTGTAAATTGTAGTCTACTTATGCATCCATCAAATAGAGAGTAGATTTGGATTTCATAATTCTCATTCTCGCAGGGAAGGATTTCTTAGTTCTTGGTGAAGGTTTCCCAAGTAAACAACCTGTAACATCCTTGCCTGTTGTAATGAACGTTGGCTGTTTTCCACTCTGACATGGTCGATACATTTGAATGCAGTGTATATCTATCTTTGTTTGGCTTTGTTAAATGCAATTATGGTTTTATGAAAAATGAATCGCCTATAATAAATATTGTTTCGCCGAAGTACATTTTAATGGTGAACCTGAGATTCTGCAGCTCACATAAGCTTCATTTGGGATAGCTTTCTTACTATTATTTAAAGCAGCTTTCTAGTACAAAAATCTTAATTTTTTATTAAAAAGCTGTTTTAAGAAGCAGTAACAAAATTACCCCAAACGAAACCTTATTCATTCAAGTCATAATTTCTTGAATCTTGTGGTCATTATTTATATTGCTGGTTTGTTTAGAAATCATTTTCCTGATTTTGTGCGTGCTCCACTAGAGAGAACAAATGCCCCCCTGGCTCCCTACTCAGCAACATAAAGCATATATATATTCTTGTTTCCTGCAGGTAAAATCATGGTTAAAAATTCAATCACTGGCTAAGTTTTTTAGCCAGATGGTTTAAACCTTTAAAAGGAAGAGAAACATACCATTTCTTTCAAATCCATTCTTTCTTAATGAGATCCTCCATTATCTTTAGAACCCTTCTTTCTTCTAACTCTACAACCAAGTATCCAGGATTACCTCAATTCTATCGCTTTTATTCAAACAATATTCCTAAAGACCCTAATCCCAAGCCAAAGAGGTATAAATATCCAGAATTCTATGATCCTTATGGACCAAGGCCACCTCCATCTGAGAATATCTTGCAGCTTGCCACTCGTATCACCTCACTTTCTCCAGAAGAGCTGATGCAGCTTGGTCCAGCTCTGCAACACCGGCTGAAGCATCTAAGGTTGCAGAAGGTATCTTCTGACGGGTTTGGTGCAGGCTTGCAAGCCAGTTCTGCTCCTGAAAAGATGGAAGAGAAGAAGGTTGAAAAGACTGCTTTTGATGTCAAGCTCGAGAAGTTCGATGCTGCGGCAAAGATTAAGGTGATCAAAGAAGTCAGAACATTCACCAATCTTGGATTGAAGGAAGCTAAGGATTTGGTAGAGAAGGTTCCTGTTACTCTGAAGCAAGGGGTCACCAAGGAGGAAGCCACTGGCATCATAGAGAAGATCAAAGCAGCTGGTGGTGTTGCTGTCATGGAGTAATAAAACGTAAGATTTTATTTTAATGATATAAATTAAAATTTTAAATGACTCTTCCTGCATTCTGAACCTTTGGATGTATTTGTATTATTCTGGATTTGTTTCACAGAAGAGCTTCATTTTAGTTATCTGATTTGAAGCATTGGGTTGTTTACTGGTCCAACACTGTAGAGAAAAACAAAGGTCAGGGTAACTACCATAAATTATGGCTATTCAGTCTAATTTGTTGTCCATGCTTGCCTAACAACCCATGGGTCATAGGTTCACAACAATGATGTTTTTTGTGTGCAAGCATATACACAATAGTGATTGCATAAGTTTCAAAGGATAGTGAGTGTGTAAGATTTTATTAATGCAGAGTATTGTACTTATTTTTTTGATAAAATGTTTAAAATATATTATGGATGTATGACTCAACATTTGAATAAATAAATCCAAGTGATCCTATAATAATTATCAATATAACAACAACATCAAGTCTTTATCCTACTACATGGTGTCGACTACACGAATCCCTTTTCTCCATTATGTTATGTTAAGAGTCAAATTCTCATTTAAATCTAAAAAAAAAGGTCATTAGGTCTACCTCTACCTTTCTTGACATAAGCTAAATCTAACTCATCTACTTTTCTAACCGGGTCATCGAAAGGCCGCCGTTTTATGTGACCAAATCATCTAAGGCGACTCTCTCAAGCCTTATCTTCCACTGGAGCTACTCCAACCTTTTCATGTATATGCTCATTTCGTATCCTGTCTCCAAGTGTAAAGTCACTCATCCATCTAAGTATCCTCAACTCTGCAACACTTAACTGAATATTATTCTTCTTTTTTAATGGCCAACATTCTGCACCATAAAACATGATAGATCTCACCACCATCTTATAAATTTTTCCTTTTAGTTTGAGGGGGACTTTTCTATCGCACAACAAGCCTAATGCATTCCACTTCAACCATCCAACTTGAATTCTGCTAATAATATTCTCATCTATTTCACCGTCTTTCTGAACAATAGACCCAAAATATCTATAATAATTATCAATATGATAAGAATTGAATTATAGCCCTAAATATCTGAGTGAAGAAGATCAAATAGGTGAAAAGAAGAAGGAAATATATAATGGTGTTCACATAATTCATTAGAAGCATTGATTTTACTCTAGGTTTTCCTTGAGCTGGGCATGTTCTTAACTATTTGGGCTTTTTCCCTATCTAGAAATAATTCTACTCTCATATGCATATTTATGATACGAACTCATTATGTTTTCTTTCTTTAAAGATGGTAAGATTTAGCTAATTAGCAGGTCTGTATTTGATTAATCTTCACCTCAGCATTCAATTCTCAAAATTTTTACCTGTTTGTTCATAACAGTCTTTCTGAACTTTCTGTGATCTATTTACCTTCAATTATTAACTTTTCATTTGAATTCCAATTGTTTCGTCGATGGATATATTTAAGCTTTGTTTGGGACAGCTTTCTTATAATTTTTTAGTACACGAATTTTTAGAACTAACAATTCTTGTATTAGAACGCTACTTTAAAAAGTAATAAGAAAGCTGTCACAAACTTTTCAGTACAAAAATCTGTTGCCTGCAACTATTACTCCATTAGCAATTTTGAGAAGGCTAAGGCTTCGTTTGGGATGATTTTCTTGCTGTTTTTTAAAGCAGCTTTCAAATACAAAAATTAAATTTTTTTACTAGAAAATTGCTTTAAAAAATTGAAATAAAGTCATTCCAAATGAAGCCTTACTTCCAGCCATTGCTTCAAGACCTAATAATAGCTGCATTCCAGCTTTTGAAAAAGCTGTTTCTTCCTGTAGCAGAAGACCTAGAGGTTAGATATCAAGGGAAGCTTCTCACAAATCTTCTTGAATGGCTTTGTTTGGGACAGCTAAGAAATTTTGGTATTAATAAACTGGTTTAAAAAGTAACAAAAAAGTTGTCCCGAGCAGGGGCGGATCCAGTTTCTTTTTTAAGGGTGGGCAAAAAAAATTTTTTGGGTGGGGGATGGGCAAAGATGCTTAGGATTGATAAAATGAGGGCAAAAATTTTTTTTGAGAGGGGGCAAAATACCTAAAATACCAAAAATATTCCAAACTATTCCCCTTAAAATTAAAAAAAAAAAAAAATTGAGGGGGGCATTTGCCCCCCGTCAAGTCAATGGGGATCCGCCCATGGTCCCGAGTGAAGTCATTGTGATGAGCAAGGCTTGATATTAACATATCATTCAAACAATCTTTGTTGAGTGATGCACAACTTATCGCTCGATATTTAATTTAAAGTTTGCATTGCTTTCAATGAAAATTTTTGAATTCAATTTATATGAAATTAGATGACCTAAGTTTAAGTTTGTTGATTAAAGAATGTTTTGATCATTGGTACATGTAGCTCAACTTTTGATTTTTTTTTTTATAGTTTATCCTTCCTAACAAATACTATCAGGTTTGATAGTTTGATCATTATTTTTGGTTAAAATCCGCACAGGGGCCTACACGTTCTATAAAAAAGAAGTACAACTCCTTAAAGGATCAGAAGCTCTCTAAAAGCATTTGAAATAAAATCTATTGAGCATGAGATCCTATCTATTACAATAAGAAAGAAAAAAGAAAGCTAAATAACATAACTCAAAACAACAAGCAAAACGACAAACAAACGATCAGCAACAATCTTCAGCAATGCCAGCAAGACAAACCTGCAATCAGCCGAAAGGTTCCGAAGCGAGGAAGAAACAACCTGCAACAGAGCAAAAGATCCAAAACACAAAACTAGCAGAGAATCCAAACAAACACCCAAGCAGCCAAGAACCCCAACAAAGCCAACAATTCATGCTATTTAGGGCTTCCTTATTGATTGTCTTCTATCATGATTGAGCTAAAGTTTAAAAGCTGATAACTATCATGATGGATCCACAAGATTAAATGGTTTTTTAGTATATGATGCTTGATAAAAATTTTGGTGAGAGAGAGAGAGTGGTGATCGATATGCAGAACTCTAATATAATGAGAGATTATTAAAACACAAATTTTGAATTTAGTCCTACATCAAGCTATTGAAAAATATATTGGTAAAAAAATATCAAGTTGTTAGATCTCACATATAAAATTAAACCGTTCAGTTGAAAAAAAGATTGACAACTGATGTAAACAGTCAAACTTTGATCCTATTTGATTTATACTCCATAATAGTTAACTCTTATGAGTAGAACGAATATCACCTCTTACTAAAATTTTTATTTGAATTAATTTCTTTCGTTTGGGACGATTTTTTTACTGCTTTTTAAAGCAGCTTTCTAGTACAAAATATTTCATGAACTAGAAATTTTTGTACTAGAAAGCTGCTTTAGAAAGTATTAAAGAAAGCCGCCCCAAATGAAGCCTTAAAAACAAGAAGAGACAATAACAACAAAATCATCATCAAGCTTGTGTACCCACTCTGTGAGGTCGGTTACATGAATCCTTTTTCTCTATTGTGTCCTATTAAAAGTGAAATTCTCGTTTAAATCTAATAAAGAAAGATCATTTCTAATATTTTCTAACCAAGTCCTTTCGGATTACCTCTACCTTTCTTAACATAAGTCAAATCTAATACCTCTACTTTTATAACCGGGTCATCAGAAAGATGCCATTTTATGTGTTCAAACCATCTAAGGCGACTCTCTCTAATCTTATCTTCCACTGATGCTACTCCAACTTTTTCACGTATATGCTCATTTCGTACCCTATCTCTAAGGGTAAAGCGACTCATCTACAAGAACATCTTCATCTCTACAACACTTAACTTAGTATTATGCTTCTCTTTTAATACAAGAAGAGACAAATAAAAATTCAAATTTTAAATGGAAAAGATGTTACTGTAGCTGATGTCTGCCTCATCATAGTGAGATCCTCTTGGATCTTGGTCTCTGTAAGCCTGATTTCTTTGTTTATTAGGAGCAGGTTGGTGGTTAAGAATCTCTCAGAGAGCACAGTTAGCTAATTAAGCATCTGCTTACTTGAGGTAAATTTGCCACTTGTTTCTGTTTAGAATATTAATTCCTGTATATATAATTCTTACTTAATACTGATGTTAATCTATGTAGTAAACAAAGATAGTTAAAAAAAAATGTTTATGTATGTTGAAAATTTTGAATAGCTGAATGAATCAAAATTATATGCTATCTTCATCAAAAATATAAATTATAACTATTTCTCAATAAGACTATTTTAATTATTAAGACTTTGTTTGAGATAGATTTCTTATTACTTCTAAAAGCAGTTTTCTAGTATAAAATTTTTAATTTTTGTACTAAAAAGTTGCTTTAAGAAGCAATAAGAAAACCATATCAAACGAAGTCTTGGGACGGCTTTCTTACTATTTCTTAAAGCAGCTTTCTAATACAAAAATTTTAATTTTTGTAATAGAAAATTGTTTTAAGAAGCAATAAAAAGCCGTCTCAAACGAAGCCTAAATCTTACGATTATATAAAAAATATGCTTAAAAGTTTTGTATTTTTCAAATGTATTTTTTCTTCTCTTTGATATTGTATGTAGTAGTTTATAAAGTTGGTCAAAAATCTATGAGTTTATGGTAATAATGTCATATATCACTGTAAAAAGGCAACATTAACAGCACAATTGCACCAAATTAAGCCAAAAGAAGCATTGAGATCTATGTCTAATTATCAATTAAGGTTTAATGCTCTTCATATGCTAAAGCTTCCAATATTCAAAAATAAAAAGATAAGTTTTATTTGTGACATCTTTCTTACTACTTTCTAAAGCATTTTTTTAGCACAAGAACTAAAAATTTGCGTACTAAAAAGCTGCTTTAAAAAGCAGAAAGAAAATTTTCCCAAACGAAGCCTAAAATTCTGCAAGATAAAGTCGTTTTTATGCTAACCATGCAGTAATAACAGTAACATATTGGAAGATAGAAGAAATGAAAGCATTTGGCTACACACTAAAGGAATCCCTTATGAGATTGAATCCAATCTTATAGAGTAAGAACATAATAGCAGTAAGTCACCAACTACATAACAAGATCTAATTAATAGCATAGAATAAGAAAGTTGTAGCAGTGAGTTAGTACTTACTATTAAAGATTTAAGCAATAAAGAAAATTACCATATACTAATGAAGAAAATTAATAAATTTTTACTACTTAGTAAAATGATTAGAATGTCCTATATTTAACTCTGTTTGCACTAAGATTTGGCTGATAATTAATGAATAATGATTATGCTAAATGCGTATTTAGCTTCCTTTCAATTAAGAGGAGGTAACACTTCCCACGTAGTGAAAATCTCGCTAAAACTTTTATAGAGGGATTTCATACAACAATCATAAGTGTGTATATATTTATATATACACTTAAGGTTTTGTTTGCGACAGTTTTCTAACTGCTTTTTAAAGCATTTTTTTTAGTAAACAAATCTTTTGAACTAAAAATTTTTGTAGTAAAAATCTGCTTTATAAAACAGTAAAAAAGCTGTCCCAAACAAATCATAACACTTAAACTTGAAAGCAAAAAATAAAGAGTTCCTCATGCAAACTTCTATAGGAAATTCTTTATAGGATATTGGTTGCAATGGAGCTATGATGGATATATGATATAGTGAGCTTTTATACAATATTAGTTAGGTTTGAAGATATATGATATTTTTGAAAACATGTGAGTTAAATGTTTCAAAATGAGCTATTAGGAGGTTCAGGTTTCGTTTGAGATGGCTTATTTACTGCTTCTTATAACAGTTTTTTAGTTAAAAATTTTTAATTTTTGTAAAAAAAACTGTCTTAAGAAGCAGTAAGAAAGTCGTCCCAAATGAAACCTTAATGAGCTTTTTATTAGTTATCAAGCATCTAATATGTTTTACAATTCAACTTCACTTTTCTAAGCTAGTGGAGGGTAGAGTAAAATTTATTCAAGTGTTGTATATTTTAATCTACCGACCCTCGAAAATCATAGTCGGATTGATCGATATATGCTCTCAATATAGTGAACACCTCAAAGATCATTTTAGTTGAACTGCTTTATACTAAATTTTGAACTAAAGTCACTCAATATCAGCTTAGAATTTTTATTGCGTATGCCCGGTCCAAATTTACGTCCTAGTTCAACTAAAAAAATGGGCCTTATCCTTTTCAACTAAATACATAGTACAAATTAGGCTTTGTTTGGGATGACTTTTTTACTACTTTCTAAAGCAAGTTCTGTTCAAGAAATTTTTTGTACTAAAAAATTGCTTCAGAAAATAGTAAAACAGACGTCCCAAACAAAATTTTAGTTGGGACACAGCTTTGCTATCCATTACAGTACATGTACAATTACAATCAGTTGGCTCATAGGATCATGGAAATAAGAGGCAGAAACATGCATATTGGAAACTAAAATGATTATATTTAATATGATTAAAATATGAACCGTTCAAAATTAAATGGATATTTATGAATATTAAATTCAACAATAAATTTATATAAATCAAATATATATATATATATAAAGAGAGAGAGAGAAGGCTGCAAGAGAGAGAAAGATAGCCTTCTACAGACCAATTATAAAGAATGATTCTGCGACATAGACAAGAGTTCCCCAACCGAATGCTAAACGAGTGTATGGAGTCGTTCCGTCGCTCCGACCGAATGCGAAAATTTCCGCCATTTAATCGCAGGTGAACAGTGAGACGTCAATATTGGCGTCGCACTGTTCACTCACGCCATTTTTTGCTCTCAACCGGAAAAACACGTGAAAGGGAGAGCGATCGTTAACTTCTCAAAAACACCTAAACATGGCGTTCGATTGGAGCATCAACCGCGCCATTTTGAAGTTTTGCGTTACTTTGCCGTGAAAAATGAAGTTTTCGGTTGGAGATGCCCTTATGAACGCTAAAAATGAAATTAAGTTTATAATACATCACTTGAGCCTTGATTTTTATGCTAAAATATGCACACGTGGTCGTCTATCTTTGACGTGGCTTAAAATGTCTCTTGTGAGTGCCAAGTGGAGTTGGCGAGTCCTTGGGGACGAGCGAGTGCCCTTAATAAATAATAGAAGACTAAGGTTTTGTTTGAGATGACTTTCTTATTATCTCTTAAAACAGTTTTAGAATATAAAAATTTTATTTGTTGTACGAAAGAAATGTTTTAAGAAGTAATAAGAAAGTCATCCCAAACTAAATCTAAGTTTCTTGAACGGGTCCTTGAACACCTTTGGAGAGTCCATGAAGGTGAATGATCCCAGATAGGAGGCAGATTCCTATATAAATTTATAATAAAATTTATTTTATTTTTAATTATCTTGTAAAAAAATTAAAAATAAAAAAAATCCTTAAATATGAATTTTATAATATTTTATACTAATAAAAGAATTAAATAAAAAACAATTTTTTTTGAGAAATTAATAAAAAACAATCGATGAGCATAATAAAATATAAATATAAACCTGTTGTACTGTTCATACTCGTATGCTGCACCGTAGCTATCATCCACGTGGGCTTTTGATCTGATCCAAAGCGGTATAGATAATTTGATATCCAATCGATCTTCTCAGTTTTTTTTTTCTTTTTTTAATTCGCTGAAATTTGGCCAAAACAATTCTCCATTTCTTCTGAGTTCTGTCCTGATTTTTGGTTTTTACCGCACACCGACACTGCTCCTCCTCGTGATGAGAGTTACCCTCTGCCGCTCTGCTCCGTCCCTCTTCCGCTCCACTCGCAATTCCGACCTAACCCTAAAAATAACAATGGCCCCGTCTCCGATGAAGCATTAAGTAGCATTTCCTCGAAGAAAGCCCTAGTCTTTCCACGGGATTGGCGTCTCTAGGTTTTCGAGGTGGTCTCGCTTTTCAATCTGTCGGCGTTGGCGGCGTTTTAGTGGTGCTGGTATGGTGTCGTTCTTCAAATCTCTTTTCTACGAGTTTGGAAGTCCATTTTGTTTTACTCGTTGATTGATGCATTTCTCGTGTTTGTTGTTACAATGTGCTGATTATCTTGGTTCCGTGAGTGGATGTTTGGATTGTGCTTCGTAATAGTTTGATTTCTTAGCATTTCCTGGTCGCGAATGATGACGACCTAAGAGGATCTGTGCTTCCACTTCGTTTTTTTTTAACGTTTTGTAATGGGGAGGAACATGGGTGAAATGCGTGCAGTGGGGCTCGAGCTACGCACAGCTTGAGTTGAGCTGGAGCTCGACTAGGTAATCTAGTACAAGTTCGAGTTTGAGCTCAAAATTTTCTTTTAAAAGAGAAATTGAGAAGGTAATGGAGAATCAAAGAAGTTGTGGCGATGAATCTATTGTAAAAAGGGAAGTACTCAACACACTCAACGATTTACCTTATTTTCAACACAATTTCTCTGCAATGTGTCATAAAAAAGTGATGTGAACCTACTATCTTCTCGTGTATTATGCTCCTTTTATGTTTGAGACGCCACCTAAATTTGAGGCTTGAAAATGTAATGAACTTGTCAGTGTGGGAGAAATTTCTCATATTAGCTTTGTAACTTAGCCTTTGAATATATATATTTTCAACTATATTTTATATCAATTTTTTGAAATATTTACTCACATAACATTAGTTTTTTAAATTTATAATACTAACACTTATATCAATTTTAGAACTACTAAAATGTGCATTTTTGAATCCTACAATCAAATTGGTAGAAATTTGATGAAAGGGAAAAATATATATTGATATTTTGTTGTGCATCTTAATATGCGGACAAGAATTGGAAATATGGAGGCAGAAGGGTGTTAGTTTTATAATTAGCCAATATTTGGTTGCTATCAAGTCGGTGAACAAGATGATGAGATCACTAGGGAATTACTTTAGCTTAATTTGTTGGTTTGTAAAACATGACACAAGCTTTTTATTGAGCCGAGCTTGAATTGGCTCACAAGTCGGCTTTGGCTTTATTAGAATGCTTGGTAAGAACATAATGGAAAGGTAGATTAAGTTTGTTGCAATTGAATATCAATCTTCTGTTTGAACGGGTAAAGTTTGTGCCCGTTTTATCAAAATATAGTGTATCTTTGGCCATGGAATTCTTTTTGCTGAAGTTCAGAAGTTTGGAATTCATTAATATGCCCTCAATATCTCTTACCAGTTGATTTACTATGTTAATTTTAGCTTTGTTTTTTGGGTTTTCTTATTGATCGGATAGATTTTGTGGAACTTCTTCTCTGAAGTTATCCGAGATGGCCAGTTTGATTTGAAGAGTTTTATTCTTCGTTTGAATTGGAATAGTTAAATATTGTATGTTGAGTTGATTTTTAGTGGGCTAACTAAATATTGGTTGTCATCTTAAAAAAATTGTCTTAAACAGAATCTGCTCAACTTAGTTATTTTTTACTTTTACTTTTTTCGAACATTTATGCGCTCAAAATTGCTAAATTGATTGTGGCTTTGCTGTTTAGAAATGCCAAGGGCATGCTTTTAACATATCAATCGTTTTCATGCTGCTAAGTGTTTTATCACGATGCACTAAAAGAGTGTCAAAAAGAACTGAATGCTTCTGTAGCTAGGTTACAGTTTACCTATTTACTTTGTAAACAACATTATTGGCAAATGGCTTGCGTGATCTAAAGAGTACTCTCAAGTATGTGAATCAACTTATATAATTTGCATCATCTTATAGAGCATGTATCAAAGAGTTCTAGCTCAAATGGTATGCTCCTTATTTTAGGGTTGAGGTTGCAAGTTCAAGTCCGATCTATGATCTACGGTATGCCCTTGTTTTTTAGTGTAGAGATTACAAGTTTGATCAATGGTTGCTTTGACCATTGTTGATACTTTTCTTCGATGCCAACCATCGATTGGTGTCGTTGCATATTGTTGATCTCCACTGAACGTTGTTGACACTTGTCATTTGTCATTTATTGTCATTCATTGTTGATCGATGCCAACATCTTCCTTCTTTGGTTTGTTACCTCCCACCATCATTCTAAGCCAATATTATTTGTTTTTCAAAATTCTATAAAATTCTCCATCGCCATCACAATAGACACCCACCTACCAAAAATTCAGGCCTCATGATTCTGCCTTCCTTGATGACTGAAAAGGGTGGTATGTTGTAATTTTTGACTTACATGGTGGAGTACCTTCAACTAAGTTAAGCCTGTGATTTTTCTTTTTCATGATTTTTCACATAAAAATGTTTTCTTAGGAACTACAATCTATTTATATGTGTTTGTGCAGGATTTTAATGTAATATTAAGATTATGAACTCCCCCTATGGCACCATGGGTATTTTAGAATGTATAATTTGACATTGTTTGTGGGAACCATTCTAATCATTATAGGCTCTACACCTGCCCAATGTCCACTATGTGTAACACTTACAATAATAGAGCTTATCGCTCCATCTCATCACTCCGAGAACCAATCCTTCAAATAAGGATGCCATGCCACTATTCTTCTCTTGCCCAACATACCTGAACCTCTTGGTGGTACCTGTTCTTGCATGTTCCTAGAAGTTCGCATTCGTAAGATTGAGGAATCTTAAAATAAGACCCTTTAGCTCTCATGGGAGGCATAATATATTGTTTAAAATTGCGCAATATGAGGCTTGCCTTGAGGCCCGACTCTATGCAATTACATTGAAAAATGCCTCGAGGCTTATTCCTTGAACCTTTTTATGAGGCTTGCGCCTCAACTTGGCCGAGGTCCGCCTTGAAAAGCGCCTCGCCTCGCTGGCATGAGGCGATGTGCCTCATCCGACTCCGGTGTGGTCGTTCGACTTCATGCCTTTGAGCGACTTTCCCCTCCTGTAGAACCGGAAGTTACACATTTTGATCGGAAGCAAGCACAGGGGCTTACTGACAGTGAAGGTAACTTTCTACCTCTCACGCGTATCTTCGGCCATATCTCCCAAATTCGCCAAATAGAGAGAGTGGAGAGGGAGAGATCATTTATTTTAATTAGTTTAATTAATTAACTAATATTAATTATAATTAATTTAATAATTACCTTTAATTATAATTAATTATTAATTATACTAATTATAATTAATTATAATTAAATATTATTAATTATATTTAACTCTTAATTATCATTAATTATTATTAATTATAATTAGGCATGACTAATTATAATTAATAAATTAATTATAATTGAATAGTTAAATATTATTAATTTTAATTAATTATTTAAATATAGTTATTATAATTAAATAACATTAATTATAATTGAATATAATTAATGAATTAGTTATAATTATATGATTAATTAATTATTATTAATTGCAAATGCTCCTCCCGCCTCGGTTTCCGTGCCCTCCACCGCTAGTCCGGCGGTCTTCAAGGTATAAATTTCTAACCTAAACCCTGTCCTCGACGTGCTTGATGCACTGGTGGACCTTTTATACGCGCTCTTGTAGCATGGTGAGGGGGAACCTAGTGCAACAGGTGCGACGAGGTGGGTAAGCCTTATACGCGCTCTTGTAGCGTGGTGGGGACTGTCCTCGACCTCGACATCGACGCCAACGACTGCTACGCAAAGGTATGATGTTCCAAATCCCACTCTCGATGTTTGTAGCGGACCGAGGAACCATCTATACGCGCTCTTGTAGCACGGTAGGAGGGAGCCCAGTGCGATGCATACGAGGAGGTGGGTAAGTCCTATACGCGCTCTTGTAGCGTGGTGGGTAAGTCACTGGTGTTCTTGTACGGGTACTGTTGAAGGCCCCATACACGCTCTTGTAGCGTGGTGGGATGAAAAGATGTACGGCCGTGGTGTCTAAGGACACCTACCATACACTCTCGAGTAGCGTGGTGGGAAGGCCCAGCTCCCCTACATTTCCCCAAAACGGGGGATATGTCGGGGTGCTGTCGAAATTTTCACTGAAATGCATAAGACTTAAAACAATTTGAAGACATCATTCGAGCAGCAATACGAAGGACAACAGAGGACTCGTACTTGAACTGAAAGCATAGAACTTGTTGGACTCAAACGAACAGTGGACTTGAGGACTTGTACTTGAACACAAATCAAAATGAATTCAATTCAAACTTGAACAAAATACAATTTGGAATTCAACATAATACAAGGACCTGACTCAAACTCAAGTGAACTCAGACTCAATTTGAAAATGAAATGGATTAAACCAGACTACTTGAACTTGCATTCTGGATTCAAATTGAACACTAATGGTCTGAACAATTTGAACTTGAGCGAGTACTTGAATTGAACCAAGACTTAAACTTGAATGGAGTTTGAACTCAAGAAGACCACAAGGAATCCAAGCATGGGTTGGACTCGAACAAGAATTTGAATTCACACTTGAACTCATGCTATACAACATTAAGTGGGAGTTGCAGACTCGATGAACCCGAGTCTAAGTGAAACTTAACTCGGACTCAATTATATACAAGGGAATTCGCTTGAATCATGTGCAAAGGAGCTCAAATTACAGGAGCATTCGTACAGTCAAAAATGATTCAAAGTACGTTACAAGACCTCAATGCATGAATTCTTACAACAATCCCTGCCAGTGCCTGTAGATTGAGATGGCAATGCCGGCGTTCAATAGCCCGTCCCTACAAGCAAGTACAATCAACAAGCCCACCTGAGATTTGTGAAAGGTGGATATGATGTATAAATAATGGGTCTTCTACAAACACTTCCAGGAGGTCGTAGTGGATACAACGATCTCCTACAAATGAACATGAGCCACTTGTGGATAATAACAATGGATATTTCATAGGTACAATGAACCACTTTGGGCATAAGTACATATATCACCTACGATAATGGTGATTAAGCTCTTCAAGTACGCTGGGTACAAGAGCAACTCGATGTACGAAAAAGGACATCCCTTGCAGAAGGGAGGAGATGTTTTAACAAATTAGAACTAAACCTCTTGGTGTTCCAAAATTTCTTCTTGAC